TAGTCTGGATTGCTCTAAATTGATTTTCTTTGGAAACATTGGCTGCACAGGGAGGCAACAGGAGGAGCACTGAACTGGAAATGTAGACAACTTAGATTCCTGAATTTTCTCTCTAGCCACATAATATATGAAGTAAGGTTATAAAATGATTCATGTTCACTATACACCAAAGCCTTCCATTGGCCTTTTCCACCTTATCCAAGTATCATGTCTTGTTACTACACAAGTCCTCTGTTGATTCCTCCAAAATGTTTGCTTTGTCCCAGGCTATGACACATCGAAAGAGGATGTTGACGGTTTTGGAGTGGAGAACCCTCAGCGTTGGGATGCTCTTGTCCAGTTTCTAGGGACCACCTCCTTTTGCCTGGGTCGCTTCAGAACTGGTACCAGCTGCAAAGGGCTGTAGAAATCAATTTCCCAGAGCTCTTTGAAGGGCCCTGCTCTGAGGAGGCCCTCCTCAACCCCCCCAACTAGAGTTAGCCTCCTGCCATATATTCTTATACTACCCTGTACTTCCTTAATGTTAACACATCATATTTTATTGCAATTATGGGCTTAATTTCTCCACTTAATGAAGGGAAATAAGGGCAGTCAAACTCAGAAAAGGCAGGAAGTCCTTGTTTGTCTTTTGTTGCTGTTGTTTGTTTGTTTATTTATTTATTCAAATGTATCTTTATTGTTAAAAGTATTGCACATGTCCCCCTTTTTCCTCATTGACCCCCTCCAACCCCACCCCCCAGGCCTCCTTCACAAGTTTCTTTGGCTAAGGTTGTGGGAGACCCAAAGGGACTTAGTGTCGTTGGAAAACTGACTTCAGTAGAGACCTTTCATGTTATAAACCGAGCAGCTGGTACGTGGCAAGAATTCTCAGTTTTTCTGACCTTGCCTGAATCATTCAGGAAGCCACAAGTGAGAGGTCTTCACCCTATTTGCTGCCATCAAGGCCCAGTGGATAGCCCCACCCCACCCCGCCTTGGCTAGTTTCTCCTGTTTTTTCCTGAGGAGCCACCACTTCCAATACTGTCTTTCTGATAGTGCACGGTGTTCCCTTCTGCACCTGTGCTTTACTTCTTCCAGGCGACCCGCCAATGAGGGAGTCAGCAACGCAGACTCTTGACAGACCAAGCCAAAGCACCACATTCTTTGCCTGGAACGATTTTATACTTCCTTGGGGACTTGCAAGGAACAAGTGACAGAGTCAGACGGATCAGAGGAAAAGTCTTCAGGGCCTGAGGAGAGTTTGTAAAACTTGCCCCAAATCCTAGAAGTGTATGACATTTGTTTATCTCTTTCTTTTCATTCGCTTTTTATTTGCATCTGTTTTCCTCCCCCTTTCTCCCCTTCTGCTTTTCCATCTGTTTCTCTCTTCTTTGTAATCTTTCTACTTGCTCTTTCTCTTTCCTTCTCCCATTGTTCTTCCCCACCACTGTCCTTGCTCGTAACGGCTGCCTTTTATTCAGTTCTTATATACTGAGCACTATGCTAAGTGCCTTGTATCCACCACCTCATAATACTCTGCGAGCTAAATAATATTATACCCATTTTGCAGGTGATAGAATTGAGGCACAAATCCATTAACTTCTCCAAGCTCAGCAGATAATAGAGATTTGAGCTCCAATTAGCTAACCCCCAAGCCATCTTCTCTTAACCGATACATGGTCTATTTTTCTCCATTTCGAACTCCCCCTTGTCTTTTACCTCTTTTTGTTCCTTCTCATGCTTTTCATCATCCCTACTTCTCTCCCTCCCCTTCTCTTACTCACCACATCCCGGGCCCCACACTTGTGTGCCTGACCCTGAAGGTGCTGAACACTGCACGTGCCCAGAAGAGATGACAGACCATTTAAACTCTTATCTAATCAGGCATTTTCCTTTTGAGCAAACGCTTCACATTTTCCCACATTGTCTGATCAAAACCAGAGGAAAGGCCTCCAGACCTGGCTGGGTCTTTGATATGGAGGGAAGAGAGATAAGGTCCTTTCCGCTCACTCATGGATTCCCTCATTCCCAGAGACGCTGTGTACTCTAGGGTTGGGGAACGTGAAGGGAGGGAAGAGGTATTGGTAGAACTCTGTCAAGGAATCAGCTCAGGAGCCAAAGAAGCCTGGGCCATGAAATGTGGCACTTCCACCTGCCCCCCCCCCCCCTTCCTCATACGTATAAAGAATGTTCAGGTCAGAACCAGGGCATACTGGCAGCAAAAATGTGACGGTCAAGGTTTGAGCTTGACAATCTTTAATACCCCATCAGAGCCTGAGGTTTTGTGATTCTAAGAATATTCCGCCCTCTCCCCGCCCGTCCTCCCCTCACATTCTTTTCTTTTTGTCATTCTGTTGATTAGAATTGGTTAGAAGCTTGCCCTGGCTGGCGTGGCTCAGTTGGTTGAACATCATCCCATGCACCAAAAGGCCACCGGTTTGATTCCTGGTCAGGGCACCTACCCAGGTTGTGGGTTCAATTCCTGACCAGAGTACATGTGGGAGTCAACTGGTCCATGTTTCTCTCTCACATCAACATTTCTCTCTCTCTCTCTCTCTCTCTCTCTCTCTCTCTCCCCTTCCTCTCTCTAAAAATATATTTTTTAAATCAATATATATATATATATATATGTTTGATTAGAAACTTAAGCCAGGAGGACATTCATTGCTCATCAATAAGAATTCTAGAGGTAGGAGATTCAAGAGTTTCAGAGGCCTCAGGGCACTATCTGCTATTTCTGAGCGCCTCTGGGCAACTTCAGGCATCTTGGCTCACACAGCCCTGTCCACGGGCAGGAAGGGGTCGGGTAGGGCGGACTTCAACAGAGGCCCCCTCCCTTTACTGAGGGCTGGAAAAACATTTCCTAGAGCACTCCCTCCACATGAGTCTCTCCCCATACCTCAGTGACCTGGCCTAGCTGCAGTGGAGACTGAAAAAGTGACATCTGCCCTTTCACCCTACTAATGGGACCCAGGGAAGGAAGGAATAGGGACTTAGCTTGCCACTGGGTAGGAAGCACCAGTGCTTGACACCCCTTTCTTCATTCACTCAACAAAGATACACTAAGCACCCACTCTAGGCCAGGCTCTGGGTCAGGTGATGATGATACAGAGGAAAAGACGGTTCCTGGTCTCCATGAGCTCTGACTGGAAGAACACAGATGGGCAAAGGATTACAAAACAAGATGGCAAGTGTAGGGGAGGAGTGAGCGTTCCCAGGGCCACCACAGGAGCTGAAGAGGCTCAGCCTGAGAGAGCAGAGAGGGCTGGAAGAAGCCATGCCTGGGTCAATTTTGAAGGGTAGATGGGACTCGGCTGGGCTTGAGGGGGCCTGTAGGAGATGGTTTGGAGGAGGACATCTGGAAATCTTCCAGACTTGGCATGGTTGGATAAAGGGAACTAAAGGGGACAGGCAGGAAATGAGGCTGAGGAGCAGGCAGGGGCCTAATGAGGGAAGGTTTTGTATGGGACATAAGGGATTGGGGCATTTAGTCTGGATGTGAGAGCGCGCAGGTCTGTGGTGGGAACCTCCTGTATGTATGCAGAAGGCCAAGCCAAGCTGTACAGCTGCAATGGCGCTGAGGTGCAGGAGATCCACATTGCCCACTGCTTGCAGCTACGGGGACCTGAGCACTCATCTGTGATACCTCACCCGGTGTGACCGAAGACTTTTTATTTGCCAGCGCCCAATACACCTGGTCCATACTGGATGGTTCTGATGATTAGAGAATGCTTCCTGAGGGGCCACATTTGGCACTCACTCCTTCCTCCTCCACCTAGTTCTTCCCTCTGGAGACATAAAATGTTTGTTTCCCACCTAACAGCTGTTCAAGCACATGGGACATTTGTGGTATTTCAACATACCATATTGTTGGGTACACAGGTCCTCATCCTGCCTGACTATGCCAACTGTTGGGTCCAAGCACCTCTGCCAGGGACTGGACCTCCTTAGATGCCGGGTGGTAGATGGAGAAGGTATAAGAAGTCGTGAATATATGAGTCTTTATTGTAGGCCAAATAGCCATTGCTAACAAGGAGCCCTTAGACAAAACAGTTCTTCAAAGTAGAGTCCCATAAAGGCAGGCAGCCGCACACCGACTGGTTAATAAATGCATCTTTCCCATAAAGTGGCCTCCCACATAGGAGCTATACAGGAGCTATTATTAGAGCTACAGCCTCCGACATAGGGGCCCATCTAGGAGCCTCACATAGTAGCAGCCGCATACTGACGGCTGGTCAGTGGCAACTTATATACAAGCTCAAACAAGCTTAAACAAAAGAGGCTTCATGCCAAATAGTGCCCTCAGTAGTATTTGGGCTACAGAAGGGTATGCTTGCACAGTGCATAGATTGCTGCATCCTTGCTTTTGCACCTGCATATAGCAATTTCGCCTTGAACATTCTGGTTAAGATTCCCACGCTCAGAGTGGCCTTGAACATCCAGCGTACTCTGAAAAGGGCCCCTACACTCCAATTGGCCTTGAGCATCTGGGGTACTCTGACAGGGTTCCCACACACATACCCTTTCATTTAATCCTCAAAACCCCCTGGTGTGGCTCTTCCCATCCCCATTTCAGAGACAAGGAACAGACTCAGTGAGTTTGTGCCAAGTCACATTTGCAGATTTTCAAGACTCCAGGTCTGATTCTTGGCCAGACTGCCTCAGAATCACCTGGTCTGCTTATTGCAAATCCAGACGGGGGGGGGGGGGGGGGGGGCACTCCAGACTCACTGAAGTAGAATCTCTGGGGGTAAGAACATTGTAACACACATCTCAGTTCATTTCTAGATCCATTGAAGTGTGGGAACCATGCTCTAGGCTTGCTAATATAACCACTTCTAATCTCTCTCTGAGTATTTTTGCTTGGGGTCTGGGGGAGAAGAGAGCTCTTTAGCTGAATCTGATGTATTAGTTGCACTTTCTTAGAGCACACACCGGGGTGAATCTGGCATCCCAGGGCAGGACTGGAGCTCCCAGGCCTTGGCAGCAGCACCCCACTCCCTTTCTCCCCCTGTTTGCAGGTGTCTGCCCGCTGCTGAGCCGCGATGGGCGACTGGAGCTTCCTGGGGGAGTTCCTGGAGGAGGTGCACAAGCACTCCACGGTGATCGGCAAGGTCTGGCTCACGGTGCTCTTCATCTTCCGCATGCTGGTGCTGGGCACGGCCGCCGAGTCCTCCTGGGGCGACGAGCAGGCGGACTTCCAGTGTGATACCATGCAGCCGGGCTGCGAGAACGTCTGCTACGACCAGGCCTTCCCCATCTCGCACATCCGCTACTGGGTGCTGCAGATCATCTTCGTGTCCACGCCGTCGCTGGTGTACATGGGCCACGCCATGCACACGGTGCGCATGCAGGAGAAGCGCCGGCTGCGCGAGGCCGCCCAGGGGGCCGGGGAGGGCCAGGGCGCCGGCTCCTACGGCTTCCCGGCGGCCGAGAAGACGGAGCTGTCCTGCTGGGAGGAAGCCAACGGCAAGATCGTCCTCCGGGGCACCCTGCTCAACACCTACGTGTGCAGCATCCTGATCCGCACCACCATGGAGGTGGCCTTCATCGTGGGCCAGTACCTGCTCTACGGCATCTTCCTGGACACGCTGCACGTCTGCCGCCGCAGCCCCTGCCCCCACCCCGTCAACTGCTACGTGTCCCGGCCCACGGAGAAGAACGTCTTCATCGTCTTCATGCTGGCGGTGGCCGGCCTGTCCCTCTTCCTCAGCCTGGCCGAGCTCTACCACCTGGGCTGGAAGAAGCTGCGGCCGCGGCTCGCCCGGCCAGGGCAGGGCAGGGCTGAGTGTCAGCTGCCCGGCCCCTCCACGGGCGCCGCCCCGGGCTGCACGCCGCCCCCTGACTTCAGCCAGTGCCTGGAGAACGGTCCTGGGGGCAAGTTCTTCAACCCGTTCAGCAACAGGATGGCCTCCCAGCAAAACACGGACAACCTGGCCACAGAGCAGGTGCGCGGCCAGGAGCAGATGCCCGGGGAGGGTTTCATTCACATCCGCTATGCCCAGAAGCCGGAGGTGCCCAATGGCGTCTCCCCAGGGCACGGCCTCCCCCAGGGCTACCAGAGGGACAAGCGCCGACTGAGCAAGGCCAGCAGCAAGGCCAGGTCCGATGACCTCTCAGTGTGACCCTCCGGTGGGGGGGACTAGGACCAGGTGGGGACCAAGGAGGCTCAGAGGAGGAAGAGGGGGTCCTGCCGACCCCACCTGTCTTGTTCTCAGCACCGCTCTGCTCCTTGGGGGCCAGTGCTGTCGGAGGTCTAGCCAGGCCTCTGTCTCTCCCCCACCCTCTACCCAGTGCACTCAGTGAAGACTCAGGTTACTCGCTGAACAGGGGAGTAAGGGAAGGGACCGAGGCAAAATCTGGCCTGGGAGGGGTAGCCAGAGAGAGAGGATAATTCTCTCCATACCAGCCACATGCCAGAGGGTTCTCTGAGTCTCTATGGCGCCTGTGAACTGGGTATCCTTCCTCCTGCAAGGAAGACCCCAGAGCTCCTAGCCGGTAAAGAGCATGAGCCAAGGAACTTGCACGAGGTGTGCTCTGGAACCTGTGGTGTCCACGGGCCAAGCCTTGCAGGCAGCGAGGTTGCCTTGGGCCGCCCTTGGCTGCCGCTGCCTCTACCCAGTCTTACCTAAAAAGAGGTCCTTGGAGCTTGACCAGCAGCCTCGACTTTACAAGTGCCTTGGTATGCACGCCTGGCAAAGGTCCCGCCTTTACTCTGCCAGGGGGTGGGTGCAAGCAGGCCAGGGAGTGCACGCAGGCCAGGGGGTGCGCGTGCCCCTCGGGAGCCACTGTGAGCAGACTCCCTGGAATTCCTGCCACCACCTGTTCTGTAGCTCTTTACAGTTCAGCCCGATGACAGACACCATGCCTTCCTGGCCTCCTGTGGCTGTTCACCCAGTGCTCCCTGACAGGCCTCACCAGCCAGGAGACCCAAGAAGCCATCGTCCTCTCTCAGATCCTGACCAGATCACCAGCCACAGAGGCCAGTGGAATTTCCCCAGGTCTTATTAAAACAACAAGAACATTGTGCTTCTCACAGTCCCCTTGGGGAAAAAAAGCAAGTCTGCTGTGAAGATGAAAATTAAAAGAGGAGAGAAAATACTGGAAAATGATTTTTTTCTTCCTATTTATTTCCCTCGCTGACTGCCAATTAGGGTGCCAAGAAGAGGTCTGATGACAGCGATGGAAGCCCCCAGCTCCTTCTCCCCGAGGGCACAGACATGTAGGGGAAACGCCAGTTCTCTTGGCAGGGTTCTCCTGTAAGAGCTCAGAGCTCCCTGTGGCTCCCTGGTGCTCCCAATGAAGCTGCCAGGAGGGGACTTCAGAAAAGCCCGCTTTGCCCAGGGACTGGCCTGGACTCTCCATTCAGTCCATGCATAATGGGTTGTCATTTTGGATGAAGGTAAAGGATGCTCAGAATTGGATTCTGAGATGTATAGAGAAATGGTTACTTTTAAAAATGTGTGTGTGTGTTTGGGGGCGGGGGGCACGCGCACACACACGCGCCTGCTGATGGGGTGTGTGAAGGGAACAGGATGTCTGAAATAAGGAAAGGAAACCTTGGAGAATCTTGTGTCTTTCTGCCTGCCCCTCTGATGCCTCACAGAGGGGCTGAGCCTCGCTGTTTTCAGGATTATCAGCCCACAGGGGCGGGCGTAAGAGGTGGGACAGAGGAGGGTGTGGGCTCAGAGGGAAGCTGAGCTTCTAGCCCACCTGCCCATCTCCTGGCCCCTCTGCTGGTATTTGGAGGTGATTGGTGGGTGGAAAGAAGGCTGATGGTAGAGGGAACTGACTGGGACACCCTCTTATCTATTGTCTGGCGCTGGCCTTAAGACTCTGCAAAACAAAGCACAAAAGACTCCCTCTCCTTCCATCTCTGAGATCTTTGTTTTGTGAAATGAGTGTTCTTGAATTAGAAACGCTGTGAGACCAGTTTTTGATGATGGGCCTTTCAGGAAGGAAAAAGGAAATATTATGTGTAGTTTGTCTTAATAAAGTCTGGCTCTGTGTTTCTCTCTCCTTGTGTCTCTTCCATGCTGTGACTACAGGAGAAGGTTGGCAGACTTGGTGGGGGAGGGGAGCAGATGGGCCCCACTCATCAGCCAGTCAGTAAAGCAAGGAGCTCTAGAGTCAGACATGCAAGGGTGGAAGTCCCAGCTCCTGACTTACAGCTGGAGTCCAGCTACTCGATCTTGGACACTTGGTTTCCCCACCTGTAAACTGAACCCAGTCATATCTACCTCACAGGGCTATTCAATGAGAAACGTCATAAAGAATTCAGCAGAGTGCCTGGGAAACAACGGTCTGTCATTCAATGGCAATTGTTGGCATGGCTGCTGTTATTGCCTTTAGTATTTTTGTTATTATGTTGAGTCTATCGTATTTGAAAATCTGCTATGTTAAGAGATGATTCCAGGACTTCCCTTTGTGGACCCCATAATCTGCCTAAGGTGGTCAAATGAACCCCCCTAGAGGAAACAATTAGAATAGAATTACATTCGAATTCATTTATTGTTAATCTAAGAACCACAAGGCTCCAAAAAATGATACAGATGGAGAAACTACGTAGACGGGGAGAGACCCTCCCTGGGCCTTCAAGAGTAGCTGAGGCTTTAGAGAAGTGAAAACCTCACGGGTGACTGTGGGGTAGGCCTTGGTAACCCCTTTTACTGACATGGAAACTGAGGGTTAAGATTCTTGGTAGCGGGGCAGCTTCTCATGGCCTTTCTGATTGAGGTCTTATCTTTATGAAGGAGGAGAAACGACTCTTGCTCCAAAAGGGTCAAGGAACCCCCCTGCCCTTCACCGACACATGGGCGCCATTTCCCAGAGGAGGAAACAGAGGCTGGGAAAAACGCCCAGAAGCGCTGCCTGAACCGCCAGTCAGTCTTGTTTATCGGGGAAGGAAAGCTGTTTTGAAAAGGGCTGCAGAGAGCAGAGAGCACACCTTGTGACACCTTGTTGAGACTCGGGTGCCGTGGCCTCTGTCCAAGGGCCAGGCGCCCGCCCAGAAGTGCTGCCTGAACCGCCAGTCAGTCTTGTTTATCGGGAAGGAAAGCTGTTTTGAAAAGGGCTGCAGAGAGAGCAGAGAGCACACCTTGTGACACCTTGTTGAGACTTGGGTGCCGTGGCCTCTGTCCAAGGGCCAGGCGCCTGCCCAGGAGTGCTGCGTAGTCCAACTGGAAAAAGCATCTGGATCCTTTTTTATCTCCCAGGAAAAAAAAGAAGTGCATCTCATGGTTTTATAAACATAGCTGTTAACACTTAACAGTTTATATTACACCCAGACCGCAAACACCAAGGGACTTGTTTTATAGCAAGATTTCAAGCTCATGTATCTACTCTCATTTCCTCTTTCCTCCCCTCCCTCCCCAACGGTTCACCAATGAAGATGGCAATCTGGATAATAATATAGCGAACACACTAAATTGTAGGCTCCTTTCCTTCAATTCCTTCCTCCAGTGCCAGATAAGACCAGAATGCCTACACTGGTGTTTTATTCCTATGGCGAAAGTGTTGAGGTGGTTAAACTGTTAATAACACTTCTATAAAGAATCATACTAGGAGTGAGTTTCAGATTTCTTCCTAAAAGCAAATCTTGAGAGCAGAGAAAAAACAAAAGAACGAAGGCACTAGGCACCTTGCAGGGGTCTTGAAGGGCTGCTTTCTTGCAGGTGGAGATGAAGAGAACAGCTGGGCTGGAAGGAGCTGTTACAGATCAGCTGCCCACTTTCCAATCCTTAGTAGATCCTGGAAGCCCCCATCTTTGGCCGGCGTATTGGCCCTTGACATTGAGCAGAATTTACAAATAATAGGTAAATAGAGCCCTAACCGGTTTGGCTCAGTGGATAGAGAGTCAACCTGCGGACTGAAGGGTCCCAGGTTCGATTCCAGTCAAGGGCATGTACCTTGGTTGCAGGCAGGGATGTGCAGGAGGCATCTGATCGATGTTTCTCTCTCATCGATGTTTCTAATTCTCTAGCCTTCTCCCTTCCTCACTGTAAAAAATCAATAAAATATATTTTAAAAATATATGTAAATAGAATAGGATCAGGGGTTTCACTTTTGCTGGTCACCTAATGGGCAACAGAAATGGGGATAGTCTATACATTTGTTTATTATCATTTCAATTGGAAAAGAGAAAGACGTTCATTCAACAAACATTTGTTGAGCACTACGTTGGGCCAGGCACTGTCTTAGGCTTTAGGAATACGATTTTATAAAACAGATATGGTTCCTGCCTCCTGGAGCTTACAGTGTAACGGGGGAGTCACAGTACCCCGAGTAAACACACAAAATTACACATTGTGGTTGAGTGTCAAGAAGGAGACAGATAGGGGGCTGGCAAAGGTGGGGAGGAAGCTTTCTCAGAGGGGTGGGCAGTACGTCCTGTCGGAGGAGGTAACACTGATGCCGAGATCTGCCTGTGAGAAGAAACCAGGTATGATGCGAAGGAGAAGAACCCCGATCCCTTCCCGGAAACCCCAGAACACAGCTGTCCCTCACCTCCGTCTGGTCCAACATTTTTGAAAGACACAGAATTCAAGCAGCACCTAGGTAACACCTAGAACAACACTGCTTGGCACCAACTGTTACAAAATACACATACTCTTTCAGCAAAAGCCTTAGGGGAGAGAGTCATTGTTTTACCCAAAGAAGCGAACGGAGCATATAAAAGGTGTTGTTTAAAAATAGTACAGGTTATATGTTAAGGTTCTAAAAAGCCCTGCATGGTGTTGTAACTATCATTTTCAGTACAGATTCCTGGAGCAGCCGGGGGCCTTGTAAACTAGGCTGTCCTCTGCAGTTCAGGCTGACAGGCCGAGACTGGCCACATGGGTGGGGCCAGAGCCAGCGGGCGTGTTCCAGGAGAGCCCTGGGTCAGAGGAGCCGAACCGGCAAGCAGTCTCCCTGGCTGGCGTGGCTCAGTTGGTTGGGCATCTGAAAGGTTGTGGGTTCCACTCTCACACTGATGTTTTTCTCTTTATAAATCAGTGAAAAGTCTTTTTTAAAATGGTTAAAATGGCAAATGTTTTTAAAAAGCAAGAAGTCAAGAGCACAGAGAAGGGGGGAGAAGGACAGAGGGGAGCACTCAGCAGGGAAGCTGGGCCACAGAAGTTGTGCAAGACACAGGGAGGCAGGCGCGTGGGGAACATGCTCAGCTGGAGGCAGGGCCACAGCCCCTGCTCTGTGCCTGGAGCTGGGCCTCCAGGAGGACGTGTGACTCGGGGAAACAGAGCTCCACCCTGGGGCTGGGCACTGGGCAGGGCCCCAGGAGGAAGTCTTAGGCAGAGGACAAGGTAGAGACCCATTCAGCATTCCACTGAGGTGCTGAGAGTTATTGCTGACAGCATTCATGATGATTTAATAGATGCCTTCAACGCTCAAACCAAAGGAATGACCAAGCATGAGACACCCGGGCACCGCCTCAAGCATGGTGAGAGGGGAGATGGTTTTGGTGTGGGACCTTTGAAAGCACCCCAGTTGGCCCTCACCTCCTTCACCCACATGCAAGGCCAGCACAACCCTGGAGGTCATGGCTTGGAAACAAAGCATAAGTCCCCTCTGTCCCTTCAGCTTAGCTGACTTTTCTATCACCCTGATCAAGGCCCTTGTGACGGGGCACATGGTCTTCCCAACAGGGGCTTCCTCAGACAGGAACCGAAGGCCCTGCCCGAACCGGGTCAGGAGAGCTCGTCGCCTGGGCACTGCCCCTGGTCAGCGCTGAGTCCCCTCGGGCAGCAGCTGCTGTCCAACCAGCAGCAGGCGCCAGGGCATGCGGAAGCTGTTCCCCGTCCTCCTGGGCCCTTTCTCTGAATGGGCTGAAATAGAACTGGGAGGGTTTAGACTTACAAATGCTTGGGGTACAGTTGCACATATGGAAGCCAGTGGAACAACCTGTATAGAGCGTATGGGCTGGGGAAAAGTCAATTAAAAGCCTCCCACAGCCCTGCTGGCGTGGCTCAGTGGCTGAGCGTGGACCTATGAACCAGGAGGTCACGGTTCGATTTCCCGTCAGTCAGGGCACATGCCGGGTTGCGGGCTCCATCCCAGGGTAGAGCATGTACGAAGCAGCTGATCAATGATTCTCTCTCATCATTGATGTTTCTCTCTCTCTCCCTCTCCGTTCCTTTCTGAGATCAATAATAAAAATATATTTTTAAAAACCCACATGTTTTGGTAATAATTATAAAACAAGCTTCCATTTGTTCAGTGCTGTTTTCTAGGTGTTTTCCTAAGAGATTTTATTTTATTTTTAAACAGATTTTATGAATTACTCTTTCATCCTTATAGTAATCCTGTGAGGCCATGTGACCCCACTTTACAGAAAAGGAGAGAGAAGGATTCAGTGACCTGCATAGCTAGTAGGTGGCAGAACTGGGATTCAGACGCCATCGTGCTGTCTGCAGCAGGCTTCCCTCGAGTGCTTACCCCAGAGTCTTAAAAGGCAAGATGCAGAATAGTATGTCCACCCTGATGCCAGTGCGGACAGGCAGGCACTTGTAAGGACAGAGACCTGAAAGGAAGAAAGGTGAAGCGGTTGTGGCAGAGGGTGGGTCTGTGGGGTGCTGTAATTCCCCTTATTTTCCAAACTAGGTTAATGTTATGTCTTTTGTCATCAAATATATATGTATTCAACCTTTGGGCTAAATTTGATGTTCCCCTGGGGCACTGCCAGGAGCTGCCACTCCTCTCTGCCGCTGCACTCATGCCTGGGAACATTCTTTGCTTGGGCTCGGGCTGCCCCCCTTAAATGGATAAGGTTAGCGCCGGGGTCTGACTGTGACCGCAGACGGCCTGCCAGCTGTACCGCTGGACATGCCGGGCATTGGAGCGAGTGTGGGAGCAGGCCCGCACCCATGAGCTCTTGCAGGTGGTGAGTGTGGAGGGGCCAGGCCCCGGGGGGTGGGGTGTGGGAGGGTATCGGTGAGAGAGGAGCCTCCCTCAGATGCTCAGAGGGGAGCTGAGAACGATGCCACATCACAAGGGAAAGCTCAGTGTGTGTGAGAGAAACAGCACTGTGGCTTCTCAGAGCAAGGACCCAGGGAGGGGAAAGCCCAGGAGAGCTCACAGCTTAGGTAGCACCTGAAGTGGGCTGTGAAAGGTGAATAATATTTTATTATAGAGAGAGGAGGAGACTTGTTAGTGAGAGGAAATAGCACGCATTCCAGCAAAAGCCAGCAATAGAGCCGCATGGTCCGTCCTAGGAGCTGGGAGGAAACTGGAGGGGAACCTGCTGGGGAGGGAGGCCGAGAGGCGGGAACCACATACTCAGAGGAGTCTTGAAAGTGTGCCTTCCACGCTGTGGGCAGCGAGGAGCTCTTGCGTGTCTTTGGGCGTCTGGGGAGTGGGACGACCGGCGCTGCACTGGAGGTTGACTGAGGACAGCAGCAGTCAATGCCGAGGGGAGACCCTGGAGGGTGGGAGGCTCCCTTCTGAACAGGGGTGCAGTGAGCGAACACGGACAGCGCCTCCACCGTGGGCACTTGGTGACTGCCTGGTTAGGGGTGCGGCGGGGACATGGCCAGAGAAGGAACGACTAAGAAGCTCAGGCCTCTGTGGCCATTTACTCATTTATTCAACGAAATTGGTTTCATTCATTTATTTAACAAGTGAATTGTGGGGCCTGCTCTGTGCCTCACACAGCGCCAGGACATGGGGATGCAGAGGGGAAGTCTGCGGTAAGACAGTGGCTCTGATGCAGTAGAGGGCACTCAGTAGATCAGACACCCTTTATGCATCACTCAGGTGCTCTCCGCCTCACCTGCCTGTGCAGCTGCCTGTGGGTGTGGACCAACTGCACTCGGGTGCATCTGACCTCCCTCGGGGTTTCCCTGCTGGCTCAGGGGTGGGACTCTGCTTAGCACCTACGCCAGCGCATGGACAACCTAGAGGTGTGGCATAGTCAACGCAACACAGGGCAGACCTCTGGCCAGTGGGAGACAGAGGCCCTCCCTCCGCCCCGACCCCACTACCCTGGGCGCTCAAGACCTGGTTATAGGGCTTCTCCAGGGACAGCCCTTTGCAGTCTCACCTGGCAGGGCCTAGATTGATAGCACCTTCCTATAACACATCGTCCTCCTGTCCTAGGAGGTCGGAGCTCCGCCTCCTTCCCTGCCTCTCTCCCCTTGCCTCCACTCTTGCCTCTGAAACTGCACACCCTAATAAAGCATTAGCACACCAGCCTCTGCCTCGGCTCTGCTGCTGAAGAACCCAGGCTGAGCCACTGATTCCTATGTGACCTCCAGCCATCCTCACTCCACTCTGAAATGCATGCGTTCAGACCAAGCCTGGAGAACCTAGGCAGCAGCGACCCTGCACTTCGGGAGCAAGGAAGGATAGGCCTGCAGCTCAAAAATCCTGACGTTCGGTAGTTTCTGTGCAGCGTTGACAGGGACTCCCAGTGTTTCTCATGTGTCGGCCTGGATAGATCTTTACCTCCAAGACCCCACACCTCACAGCCTTTAGAATGACGTTGGGCGGGCAGAAAATGCTGGAAAATAGTGGCCAAGTTGCACTGAAGTTCTTCTCCTTTATTTCTCTTGATTCCGCGTTGTCTCCTGCTGCCTCACTTTATCTCCAAACTAGTTTCCGGAAGGGCCTTTCCTGCCTTTCCTTGGATGGCCTGTGCGTGGGGCAGCAGCGCCTATGGAAGCGTCCACTGGGCGTGTGGCCAGGCCCCAGCAGATCCTGTGCGATCACACAGTGGTGTACCCAGAGGGCTCCCCGCCCCCAAGCAGTTCTGCCTAAACGGCACCTCCCTGCCCTCCCAGTTTTGTTCACATATTCAGTGGGAAAGGAAGCTAAAGTGCAGAAAGAAATTATGCTCCCCTCCCCAGTTACCCAAGGATTCACTGTCCCTAACTTGTCTCTCTTCTTCCCCATCCCTAAAATAGTTTCAAGATTTGGGGAAAATAAGAAATGAGTACACACACACACACACACACACATGCACACACGCGCGCGCATACACATACACATGTTGGGCCCTATGTTAACATGCGGCAGCCCTCCCCTGCTTTACCATTTGTAGCCCAAAGGGCTCTCCGGGGGTGGGAGGCAGCCAGGCTGATGGCCGTCGGGGCCTCCGGTGCTGGGCTCGGGCAGAGGTGGTGTGTGGGGAGGTGTGGAGGTCAGGGCAGGAAGGGCACTTGAGCTGATCCCAGGCCCTGGAGGCGTTTCTGACGGCCCGGGCTGGGAGCTGTCAGGGCGGGGGGGGGGGGGGGGGGGGGGGGGAGCTGCTCAGGGGGCAGCTAAGCCCTGAAAGAGAAACACCTCTGGCTTCTCAAACACGCGCCCTTTCTGTTTCCTTTTCCTGGCACCCACTTAGACGCCGCCGTCCCAAGCCCTCTGCTCACTCCCTCCAGTACCTTCCCTCCAGCAGCAGAGCACTGGGCCATGGGCAGCTGGGTTCACACGCCTGTAATTGTCTTCCCAGCTGGCCCCTGGGACATCGGAGAGGACATCGTACATTCCTTTTCCGTCATTCTCCATCCCTAGCACATGAACCACAGGATCTTAGCAATTGCATTTCACTCATATTTTCCAGGAAACTGAGCTTGGAGAATCAGGAGTTCTCAGTGCTGAGCACTCATCCAGCCCCACCTCCGAAGTGTTGCCATGACCTTCACTCCCCGCCCCCACCCCCACCCCCCTCACCCCGCTGCCTGCCAGTGGCCACCCGGCTCCTCCCGAGCACTTCCACTTCCACCGGCAAAGTGGTTGGGTGCAGTCATCCGGGTTTCACCGGCTGGGGCTCAGAGCCCGGCTTTCTCCTAGCATAACCTCTGTTTCTCGTCTGTGAAATGGCACAGCAGTACCTACCGCAAAGGAGTGCTGTGGAGAGAAACTGAGCTAGCCATATCTAGTATCAAGCGATTTCTTAGTAAGTGTTAACTATTATCATGCCGTTTCCCATAACAGCCCCGCCTTTCTGCAGGTAGCTGTTAGAAACTTCTTAGCCTTCTTTTCGTTGGAACCTTTATTCCTGGAGTTTCCATCTTGGATGAGTTGCCCAAAGCCTCAGTGAGTTAGAGCTCATGGCAGACTTGGGACCAAAACCCAGATCTCTCTACAGGCCAGGCTGTCTCTGAAATCCATGCTGCACAAATGGAAAGGAAGCCAATCTGCTATAACAAAACGCTATTATCGTTTTTTCCCATTTTAGAAGCTGAGACAACAAAGTGATTTTTACTCACCTGAGAGCTACTTAGTAAGAGACCAGTTACAGCTACTTATGTTTTCTCTGGTTTGGTGCTCCGCCACACCATGGTCTGGCTTTGATGCGGTTCTCTTTGCTCCTTCCTTAGCAGGCAGAGAGGGAGGCACTTGTGGATTCAGGTAGAGAGCAGAGTTCTATGAGATCCCACCCATCTCCCCTGCTCACATCTTCTTATGCTAAGGAGTTGGCTGAAGGTCAGGAATAGTTCTGGCCTGCAAGTGTATCAGAGAGACAAGATTGGTCCTTCAGTTCTATAGAGCACATTCTGCTTCCAGAGAGCCTGTTCTGTAGAGATGATGGTCCAAAGGAAGGGGGTACCCCAGTGGGAGCATCCTGGGGGTTCGGGGCACTCTGAGCATCTAAGGCAGTGGTTCTCAACCTTCCTAATGCGGCGATCCTTTAATACAGTTCCTCATGTTGTGGTGACCCCCAACCATAAAATTATTTTCGTTGCTACTTCATAACTGTTATGTTGCTACTGTTATGAATCATAATGTAAATATCTGATATGCAGGATATATTTTCATTGTTATAAATTGAACATAATTAAAGCATAGTGATTAATCACAAAAACAATATGTAATTATATATGTGTTTTCCGATGGTCTTGGGCGACCCCTGTGAAAGGGTCGTTCGACCCCCAAAGGGGTTGCGACCCACAGGTTGAGAACCACTGATCTAAGGGAATTGCTGGAAGGTCGTTTGAACAGGCATTTACCAATTGTATGATAATGATGCGCGTTAGATACAGGCTGGACCTCATTTAAACACATTTAAAATTGTGTTCATACATAAAATACTAGAAAAAAAAGTCTTTGTGGACCAGAAATAAAGCTGTTACCCCACCCCAAAAAAAGGAGAAAAGAAAATATACAGAGAGAACCCATAGTCACAGGCACGGGTTGGGGCCTTGTGATCCATGGCTGGAGGAAACACTTAAACATCATCCACGCCGCAGTTTCAATGCCCGAGCCAGGGCAGAGGCCAGTGCTCTTGTTGGGAGCTCCGTTATTGACAAGCGGCTTGGACCAGAATCTCTGAGGAAGCTGAAACCTAAAACAGAAAGCTGGAATAGCCTACTTCCTGGAATTACATGCAGAATCAAGGTGCCTACCAGTAACTAAGAAGGAAAAGTCACCTTCATAATACTCAGTCATAAACCTTTATGATGAGCTCAGGGCTCAGTAGTATTCTATTTCCTCAGAGCATGGGTCTTGAGCTACGTCTCAAATAAAAGATCTACATTGATTTTGGTGTGTGCATTGAAATTCCAAACTGCTCCACAGGGAAGACACCATGGTCCAGGAGTGAATGTGGGGTGAAATGTCATGAAATTGGTAATGAAAAAAATCAATAGTGGTGATGGATATACAACCAGGTGATTGTTCTAAAAGCCACTGAATTACTAGTATATACATTAAATGGGTGAACTGTATGGTAGATGACATATATTGATAATGCTGTTAAAAATGTCATAGAAGACAAACTCATAATTCTCAATAAAGAATTTGAGGAAAGCCAGCACCATAATATAGTTATCACATCCAACAAATTAGAAGAACCACATCTGAGAAATAGAAATAACAGAGTACTCTGAAAAAAACTTTAAAATATGCATGTTTAAAATCCTCAAAGGAATAAAAGATGGAGTAACA